AAAACAAATATTGAGGGGGATTAAACTAAAAAGAACTAAAGATTGAAGGTGAAATTGATGTTAATTAAAAGTTGCAAGGAAAAAATAAAAAGTTCAGGGGTTAATTTGCAAAATATAAGAAATATAAACGGGATTAAATTGAATTAATTCAAAATTCAGGGGTAAATTTACAACATGTGACCAAAATGAATTACGCATCAGAATTATAGGGACTGTGAAAATAATTTAAAATTTTCATAATTACACTTTGGTCATTCCTATAAATACCCCTTAAAACCTAAAAAATTTCATTTCCCCTCATATTTCACAAAACACTCTCTCCCTCTCTAAAAATATTCTCTCAACTCTCTCCCCACACCGGCCTATGGCCGACCACATCCTCACTGCCTGGGTCAACGCTGACCGCCGCTCCGGCCACCATCACCGGTGGCCGAAAAACTACAAACATACCCCCAAAGCTTCATCTCAACGTCCCAAACCAAAAATCGAAGCCCAAACACCCAAAAAATATCCCCACTGGCGTAGATCTAGTATCGAAAGTCTCAGGTTTACCTTTCTCCGACGAGCTTTTACGATTTCTGGCAACCTTTGACTTTCCGTGACCGTGCTTTCCTTCGTGCAGTCCCAAAACCGAATCCTTGATATTTTTTGTGATTTTTCTTGCTATTTCGAATGTTTTTTCTGCTTTGTTCTTGTTGTTTCGATTGCTTGTTTTTGCTTTGTTTGCTTGGTTGCTTTGGTTGCCCCGGTGATGATTTTTCCTTCGATGGTTATCGGGTTTATATAGCCCCTCCACCTGGTGGTCATTCCCAAGTATCTCGGGGTTGCTTCCTTGTTTCCCGATTCATTCGGGTTGTTGCTTCACGTACGAAAAATAGTTGTTCCTGATTTTGCCGTGATTTGGTTTCGGTTTAGTACGTACCATTTCCTTCGTCAGCCGTTATGCGTTGGCCGACCGCAGGCTTGTGGCGTTCCTGTTACTTTAGGGTTCATGAGGCCCTAACCTTTGGTGGGTCAGGCAGATGAGCTTCTTTTGTTGGGCTTGGCAGCTGGTCCACTGGGTCAGGTGGACCTGTTGTTGTGCTTCCAAGATTTGAACATTTCCTCTGGACTTTTGGACTCTTTGGACCTAAAAATTGAAAAAATAATATTAGTATAATAATAAATAGAATATAACTATAACTAATATAATATAATACTATAATATTAATATAATATACTATATATATAATATAAGTATAATAATATACTTTAATATGTACTATGTAATATATATAATAAGTAATATATATTTTATAATGTATATGCTATATAACATATAATATATAGTATACATAATACTACTATAATATATATAATATGGAATATAATATATAATACTACTATATAATATAATAATATATAAATATATACTATCGGACAAAAATAGGTGTCTACACTAGTGAAACACATGCATGTTGCAATCATATCCCGTCACATATGATATTATATTCTCATTTGCCGATTGAAGAGTGCAAATGTAAGAAACAAAAGTTAGAATTATGTGATTAGCACTTATGTAAAAACTGTGAATTGAATCTTTTATTTCTAATTGTGAATTTGACCAAAATAAAACTAAAGTTGATTTCGACATCCTAAACTTCTTAATTCATAGAAAAAAGAAAATGCAGCAAAATTTCCACCGAATTAATCTGAAAACTTCAAGTCAAGAATGAATTGAATTGATTGTCAAGTATGAATGGTTCAAAACCATATATAAAAATACACATGAGCCGCGTTAAGTATTCGGTTTCTGCTAAATGAGGCTATAAATAAGGAGAAGTCCCCAGGGCTTTCGATGTTATTCACTCTTGTTTTGACTGCTTTCTTCTGGTTTTCAAGGGCAACTTTGCCTCATGAAAGTTTTCTTCGGTGTCTTTCATTTCGTCCAAATGATCCTTCCATTTTTAAAACTAATTTTCACACTAACAAATTCTTCCTATGAATCTGTTTTGGATTCTACGTTATGGAATCTTAGGTTCAACTCAACCAATACCCCGAAACCATTGGTCATTGTGACACCAACGCAAATATCCCATATTCAAGCAGCCATTCACTGTTCCCGAAAACATGGGCTGCAAACAAGAACCAGAAGTGGTGGCCATGATTACGAGGGTCTCTCGTCGATCGCCAAAGTCCCCTTTGTTATCATCGATTTGGTTCGCTTCCGATCGGTGGATGTTGACGTTGACAATAGAGTTGCATGGGTTCAATCCGGTGTGTCGCTCGGTGAACTTATTATAGAATTGCAGAAAAAAGTACTACTCTAGCCTTCCCAGCTGCCGTTTTCCATACGATCGGCGTCGGTGGCCATATTAGCGGTGGAGGTTTCGGGTTACTGCTCAGAAAATATGGCCTTGCTGCTGACAATGTGCTAGATGCTCAATTCATCAACGTAAACGGAAGGGTCCTTGATAGAAAAATCAATGGGGGAAGATTTGTTTTGGGCTATTCGAGGTGGATGCGGCGGTAGCCTTGGGATCGTCCTCGCCTGGAAACTAAGTCTGGTTTCCGTGCCTGCAAACGTAACAGTGTTTTCTGTCACCCGGATCCTCGAACAAAACGCGACCGAACTCGTCCATCGATGGAAATACATCGCTCGCGATCTTCCCGATGAAGTGTACTCAACAGTTATACTAAGAGGTATCAATTCAACCCAAGATGGAAGGAAAACTGTTCTAGCGATGTTTAGTTCGTTGTTCTTCGGCACCATTGACGAGCTTCTTCCATTAATGGAGCAGAGATTTCCCGAGCTAGGATTAACAAGACAAAATTGTACTGAAATGAGTTATGTCCAATCACTTATGGTAAACAACGGACTCCCAAACCAACCCTCGGAGATTTTCCTTTCAAGGGTCCCCATTGTAAGCCCATCCTACAAAGCCAAATCCGATTACGTAAAGGAACCTATCTCCGTAGCCGGGTTGAATGGCTTGTTTTCTCGACTCACCGATGAAACCGTAGCGTTAACCACCATCGTCTTTGTCGCTTTCGGCGGAATCATGGACCGAATTCCTGAGAATGCGATGCCGTTTCCACATCGAGCCGGAATTTTGTACAAAATCTTTTATGACGTGGGTTGGCAAGAAGAAGACAACATACCTCGATTGGGCTCGAAGTACTTATATGACTCCTTTCGTCTCGAAATCTCCACGAGAGGCTTATATCAACTTTCGAGATCTCGACGTTGGCTCCAACAATATAGGTTATACGAGCTATGCACAGGCAAGCATTTGGGGTCACAAATATTTCAAGGACAACTTTGATAAATTAGTTCATGTGAAGACAATGATCGATCCAGAAATTTTTTTCAAACATGAACAAAGCATCCCTCCTCTGTATCCTCACGTGTATTTGCATAACATTTACACATAATTTTATCCTTTCAATTTTTTAGTCATTTTGTTCTAAGGTTAATAGAAACAATGATTAAATTGATAAATTTTTATAGTAATAATTAATTTATGTGTACGATACAAATGGAGTGAAAGAAACTCCCAAACACTTCATTTGGTAATCTTATTTGTATCTAAACCTTTTATTGCAATTTGTTTCCTTAACGAAGAATATTTTATAGAGATGGATGCTTGGTTCATGCTTGAAACTTGTCTGAATGTCTAACAATAATTAATTAATGATAAATGATTCATAGAGGTGATTTGAAAAATATATATTATCAATAGAATGGCCGGCCTCATGACTTTATCTACAATTTCGCTTCTACAAAATATACAAGTACTACTAAAAACAAAGTTTAGTCGAGTTGATTCTAATCACGAGGTGAAGTTATTAAGTATTTAGTAGAGCCTTGAACGAGCATTTTAATATATAGTATATTTTGTAAAATCGACTTCTTATATTATATTTTATTTTGAAAAATTAATGTCTCCTTGATGACGTGAAAACTCCCTTAAATAAATCTGAGATTTCCATAGTCAAACATAAAATTAAATGATCCAAGTAATATGTTTCCAGTTCCAAAAGAGAAATGAGAGAACAACTTAGAATCACAACCGGTGGCCATCATCTTTCATATCTAAATCAGTATATTAAGGTTGGGTTTAGATGATCGATAACATTTTAATAAAAAAGACCGAGTTTATAATGTATGAATAATTATGTGACTATTTTATAACTTTTAATAATTGAATGATTCAACCAAACAATCTCATATAGTCAGGACCAGCTTTAATAATGAATGGACTCAATACGGTATCATCCTATAATAGTGGAACTCAATAAAGTAAAAACCATTTGTGTATATTTTTTGAATACAAATGAGAATGAAGACAAATATTTTAAAATTTACTAAGAAAATTAATATATAAATTAAAATGATCGACATTAACATCAAATTGCTACCTCACTTAATTGTTAATGATTTATTTGTCGAGTACTTGTATTGAGTTTAAAATCAAAATTGAATAAGCTTTTTTAAAATTTAATCATTATCTATAATTTAATTATATATAGCTTAGTACCTAACCTTAAGATATGTTTTAATTTTGTTTTATCGAATACTCCCGATGAAGAAAAATAGTCGAATGAAACCATGATAATAAAAACAATTTCAAAGCAGTACAAATCGAACCTTTTCTATTAGAAAAATGATGATACGAAGAATGAGATTTCCTCTAGAAACATTTTCAGCCCTCAGCACTGACTTAATAGTTTTGGAAAAGTCATTAGAGGTGGCTTTGAATACTTTAGTTTTATTTATTATATTCTAAGCAGCTGTAGAAACAACGCATATTGCAAGGATTAACACATTTGACATTTACAGATCAAATCTTCGAACTTTACTGTACAAGGCATCGCCATGTACGAAAGCTTCAATTTTAGGGGTTTTGAGTTCATAATAATAATATTCGTCGAATAATTTATTATTATTATTATTTTCTGCAAAACCATACTATAAATATGCTGCTTTCTCATTTGATTTCGATGCACAGAAAGCAAAAGTAAGGTTAAAGAAATGAAATCTCCACCGTTTTCGATGTTAGTCCCTCTTCTTATGGCTGCTCTCTTCTCGTTTTCATGGGCAGCTTTGCCTCATGAAAATTTTCTTCACTGTCTCTCCCTTCGTTCAAATGGTTCTTCTTCCATTTCCAATTTGATTTTCACGCGAAGAAATTCTTCGTATGAATCGGTTTTGGAAAGTAGGTTATGGAATCTTAGGTTCAACTCCACGGATACTCCAAAACCTTTGGTCATAGTAACACCAACGCAGATCTCTCATATTCAAGCCACCATTTATTGTTCTAGAAAACATGGGTTGCAGACAAGAATCAGAAGTGGCGGCCATGATTACGAAGGCCTTTCGTTCGTGGCCAGAGTCCCGTTCGTTATAATCGACTTGTTTAATTTCCGATCCGTGGACATCGATGTTGAAAACAGAGTTGCGTGGGTTCAATCCGGTGCGATACTAGGTGAATTTTATTACAGGATTGCAGAGAAAAGTACAACTCTCGCCTTCCCGGGCGGTGTTTTTCATTCCATTGGTGTCGGTGGCTATATTAGTGGAGGAGGTTTCGGGTTACTGTTCAGAAAGCATGGCACCGCCGGTGATAATGTTTTAGATGCTCAGCTCATCGATGTTAACGGAAGAATTCTCGACAGAAAATCTATGGGAGAAGATTTGTTTTGGGCGATTCGAGGAGGAGGCGGTGGTAGTTTTGGAATCGTCCTCGCGTGGAAACTACGTCTTGTTCCTGTACCGGCAAACGTGACGGTGTTCACCGTCGGCCGCACCCTCGAACAGAATGCAACTGAACTCGTCCATCGATGGCAATACATTGCCCCTAATCTTCCCGATGATGTGTACGCTTCCATTCAATTCAGAGCCATGAATTCAACTCAAGACGGAAGGAAAACAGTTGTAGCCGACTTCATTGCATTCTTTCTTGGCACAACTGACGAGCTTCTTTCCCTAATGGAGCAGAGATTTCCCGAGTTAGGATTAACAAAACAAGATTGCACTGAAATGAGCTGGATCGAGTCGATTCTTTACAACAACGGAATCCGAAACCAGCCCCTAGAAATCTTGCTTAACAGGACTTACAGAAGCCCCGTTAACGTCCCATACTACAAAATCAAATCTGATTACGTGAAGGAACCCATCTCCGAAATCGGATTGAACGGTTTGCTTTCTCGTCTCACCGACGAAGTCGCCACATCGACCGTCATCCTCTTCTTCGCTTACGGCGGAATTATGGATCGAATATCAGAGCACGCGACGCCGTTTCCACATCGAGCAGGCAATTTATACAAAATCTGTTACAACACGGGCTGGCTAGCAGAAGATAACGTGAACTCTCAAAAATACCTCGATTGGGCTCGAACAACTTATAGTTACATGAGTCCTTTCGTTTCGAAATATCCACGAGAGGCCTATCTTAACTATAGAGATCTTGATATCGGCTCCAATAATATACACTATACAAGCTATGAACAAGCCCATATTTGGGGTCGCAAGTATTTCAAAGATAACTTCGACAGATTAGTGCATGCGAAGACAAAGATCGATCCACAGAATTTCTTCAGACATGAACAAAGCATCCCTCCTCTGATATAAATAACATGTTATTCTCTGATCTGTTAGTAACATATATAATCGTGTATTATCTACAATTAATTATATACGAGAAATAAATTCATTACATGTGAATGTAAAATCATTGATTGAATATAAGATAGACTATATGTGATTGAAATATTGTATTCTTAATAATCCTATGAATCATCTTTGTTTGCCTCTATTCTCTTAAGTCACGAGTTCTAGATTTGTTAGGAGAATTTCTCTTTTCTCCTCTTTCATCCCCTTTCTCATCCCCTTTCTCATCCCATCTAAGTAGGATTAGAGTTAAATTTAAAACTTCTCAAAAAAAAAATCATAAAATCTATACAGACTATCGTTAGAGATGGTAATGTGTTAGGTTAGGTCGAGATTTTGGTTTATTTGAACATGATTCAAATATAACATTCCTCTACATGTCATCTGACTCGATCTATGTTCAAGAAAATTCCATTCAAATTGATTTTTGAGAGGAAAAACCCACACCTAACCAACATAAATATATAATTCTTGTTTTTATTATGTAAAATGGGGATCTAATTAAAATATATAGAGAGGGGGATGTCGTAGCGACTATCTCTAAATTCAAATATTATTTTTGGGTTAGATCAAATCAAATATTTTCACCCTAAATTCGAATATGACCTTAATATAACTTCTTGAAGGAAAAAAATTCCAATCATGTAAAATTAAATGAGTAAAAAACAAGTTAAATTAAGATCAGATGTGCATTCCTAATTATTACACTTTGATACTTTGTTTCAGTGTCTAACAATATTAATTAATTATTTAATCTTATTAATAGAATGACAAGTTTATCTACATTTTTTGTTTCTAGGCTATATACGGTTTAAAGAGTTCCTTTTGCTTAAAGCATAGCTGGGGTCCGACTCAATAACAAAGCCTGGTGGTTGAGTCACCCAATTGATATCCATTTACATCTTTTACTAATTCGAAATTTTTGAGTTAAAGAATAGTAATAGTAAAACTCTAATAATTATGTCGATACACCTTTAAAAAAATATTAAAATTTGAAACAGTGAAATAAGTATTAATATGAAAATTCAGATTATGGATTCTTCAAGTATTTAGTTTACCTTTTATAAAATAACATTTTAACCCCCAAAAAAATAAAATATCAAACAATAGGAATTCAGATTATAGATTCTTCAAGTATTAATATGCTTTTTGGTTATTAACAAACAGAGATACGTAACTTTATATTAAATAATTGGATGGTCAAATCTATGCACCCATTAATTTCATTGAAATTTAAAATAGGAATTCAAATGATTGCTGTGTACACAAAACACGAATCGTAAATTACCAAAATCGGTTCACATCTTTTTATAATTTATTTATTTGTTTTAAATCTCATATAATTTTATTTTTTTATTTTTTTACGAGTAAGAGTTATTAATGAATCAAACTTTAAAATTAGTGTATATGTCCGGAGCGTGTAATGTAGAGATGCTTCTGTATACGTACGTAGCTTAACCAACACAATGCGTTTTGGACATTAACAGACAGAGATACGGTTTGGGAGTCTTCTGCTCAACTGTCTTATTCGTCTCATACAAAGAAAAAAAACAAGTCTCCTCTTGATTTTGATGGATACCATTGCCGTTTAACCATATTTTATTTTATCCCAATATATGTAATACGGTAATTTTTCAAAGTCAGTATACTGCAGGCGACATATGTATATAATTAATGAGTGATATTATATCAAATTTTAAGGGAAAACAGGTGACTTTTTTCAAAAAGTTTACTGCAGGTATTTAATTGACAATTTATTTCATCTTTAGAATTAATTTTTTTTAAAATTTCGTCTTCTAATATAATGATAATCAAGTGAATTTTTATCTACTATAATCAGATATCTACATATTTTCGTATTTAATGATTAATAATTCAATCATAGAGATTATCAATAACATATTTTTGTGCAAGTGTGTAAATTATTTTGATTTTATAAAATAAAAATTCTTAGAATACTTTACAGAATGATAATAGCGCGTGGTAGGGCATAAGAGTAGCCGAACTTATTAACTTAAATTGACACGAAAAATATAAATGTTTTTCTAAAATTCCATGCGCCATAAAAATGTTGTAATTTATTTTATTTAAGTACCATTTCTTCCAGTTTGATACTCAAATCCCGAGTAGGAATGACCTCAATCCCCAAGAAAAAAAATGAAGAGATCCCATATCCTTGAGAGAAAACATATCACCTAGCTGCTTAATAATATTTGCCACAAGAGTTGAATTATTTCCAGTAATGAGTAGATCATCAACGTAGACTAAGAAATAACAAGAGTGGAGTCTTGGCTGTAAATAAAGAGAGAAGAGTCAGCCTTGGAATTCTGAAAACCCAATTGAAGAATGGCATTTTTTAGGGCAGTGTACCATGCCCGTGGAGCTTGTTTAAGCCCATAAATCGCCTTGTTCAACCTGCAAACATGGTGAGGTTTGGACAAATCTTTGAATCTCGGGGGTTGTGCCATAAAAACAGTTTCAGTCAATTTACCATTTAGAAAGGCATTGTTGACATCCAATTGCCTCAAATCCCAACCATTCATTATTGCAATAGATAAGATAGCTCTAATAGTTGTTGGTTTAACCACAGGACTAAATGTTTCTTTGTAATCAACACCAGGACATTGGTGATAACCTTTAGCAACTAGACGTGCTTTGAATCTGTCCACTGACCCATCTACTTTCCTTTTACTCGGAAGACTCACTTACAGCCCACGGGTTGACAGTTGGAAGGTGGTAAAACTAGGTCCCAAGTCCCATGTTTCATTAGAGCCGTTAGTTTAGTGGACATGGCTTCACGCCAGTGAGGTTGAGATATGGCTTGGCTCACACTCGTTGGTTCTATGGTCGGGGGGAGAGGATATTTGGACACATATGGATCTGTTTGGGTTTAAAAATTTGATTCATTGACCGTGTGGTCATGTTGTGAGTACGTTGAGGGGGATTATTTGTTGGGGAAGGGTTTGTGAGATTCAGATTTGAGGGATTATAATCAATACCTAGATGGGTATCCATAGAGAAAATAGGAGGAGATGGTGGGAGGTTTAATGAAGTAATAGTCCTATTTTCAGCTAAAGGAGGACTCGGATTAGAGATGGTGTGATCTAGAGCATGAAAAGAATCATGAAGTAAAGAAATAGGGGGTTCGAAATTACTTGGGGAGGACGTGACAATGGCAGGAGGACCTTCCGGAAGGTGCGATGGTGCTGATGCACAGGAAGGAACTACAAGTTGTTGAACACCGAAGAAAAGAGGAATGTAGGTCTGAGGGTCAGGGGTGTTTTTGGGTGAGACGAAAGGGATAGGTTGAAAGAAGCTGGAGTAGTGGTTGGTCTCATCAAACAACATGTGTCATGAAAAGAAGAGTATTTTGGTTTGTGGTTCAAAGCACTTGTACGCGTTTTGAGTTGGTGAATAACCAAGAAAGAGTTTCAAATGGTGATTTTGAGGGGATAACAAAGGCAACCAAATTTTTTTAATTTTAAATAATTTGGTTTTTTGATCAAAAAGAGTTTCAAATGGTGATTTTTCGTGAAGAAGGGGAGTGGGATGTCTATTTATGAGGTAAGAGGTTGTTTGAAAGGCATGAGGCCAATAAGAAAAATCAAGATTTGTATCATGAAGAAGCTTAAGGCCCGTTTCAACGAGGTGACGGTGACGACGTTCAAAGACACCATTTTGTTGCGGGGTTTTCGGAGTAGTGGTGTAGTGAGTTATTCCATGAAGTGAGAGATATGATTTCAAAGCAATATACTCACCTCCATTGTCTGAATATAGTGTTTTGATTGATTTTTGAAAGCGAGTTTCAACAAACTTTTTGAAATGTGGAAAAATATGAGAAACACTGGATTTAGTGATCATTGGATAAAACCATGTATATTTTGTATAATGATCGACAAAAATAAGGTAATATCGTGATCCAATATCGGTATAACTAGCAGGACCCCACACATCCGTGTAAATCAGTTCAAGGGGCTCATGACTTTGAAGACTATTGACACAAAAGGGTTGTTGATGAGCTTTATTAATACAACATGAATGATATAGTGAAGACAAATTTTTATTGGATGAAATAGGAAGAGAAAAATTCTTAACAAGACGATGAACAATTTTAAGAGAAGGGTGCCCAAGATGCTTATGCCAACCATCAATAGAAGTCCGTTCATGTACATTAGCAACCTTTTTGGATGTCACCATTGAGTCTGGAAAGGTGTAGATGCCATTGTCACATGCTCCTTTTAGTAGAATCGCCCCCGTTATCTTGTCATTCACAAGAAAATAGAAAGGGTGAAATTCAACAATGACATTGTTTTGTTTGGTGAGATGATGAATGGAAATTAAATTTTTGCAAAGGTTTAGAACACAAAGGGTATCACGCAATGTAAAAGTGCGGTGAGGGTAGTACAAAGACAAAGAGCCAATATGTGAGACTGTCAAACCTGAACCATCACCGAGAGTTACTTTGTCAGTTCCATCATATTCAAAATGAATAGATAAATTAGAAAGATCACCCGTGATATTATGAGAAGCGGCCGAATCAAGTAGCCAATTTTGTCCTTTCCATTGGAAGAGGTGGCACAATTGATAGAAACATTCTGGGAGTTAAATTTCGGACAGTACTTTGCAATGTATCCCAGCTGATCACAAAGTTGGCATTTGGGTTGATAACGCCGATTAGAATTGTTGGGCTTTCCAGAATTGTTGTTGGAGCGACGCCCACCACGTTGGGTTCCATGATTATTGCGGCCGAACTGAAGCCTTGAGTTCCACGTGCATCATCATTTTTCTTGAAGGACCAGGATTGATTTCCCCCTTGTGTAGACTGCTTCGTCTTCGTGAAGTTTGCAGAAGAAACTAGTTGCAGCTTCCATGCATCGTAGATAGGCTTCATGTCCAACCAGAAGGTCGTGTAACTCCTCAAAGGCCAGTGAAGATTCTCGGGCTCTAATTGGCGCTGCTATTTCTCGAAAATCTGGACCTAAACCATTCAACACATAAAGAGTTAGGTCATCATCCGAAATGGAATGATCAATGATGGCTATTTCATCAGCCAAGGCCTTCACAGAGT